GAGTACATGTATTATTAATTAAATTAACTATTTTTAATCGAGATAAATTAGTTAATTAGGTCTTATAAAATTAAAGAATTGGAGGGAGGCACAGTTTTGTTCCGGCAATAAATAAAAAACCAAAACCTAAAAAAAAAGAAAAAGAAAGAAGGCATCCTTGCATTTTATTTGTCATTAAAAAACTGTTTTAATTTGACTATAATTTTATAATATTGATAAAGTATGAACTATATCTTTTTTATTATTGTGGAGTATGAAAATATAAAATATATATAGACGAGAGAGAATTTAATTAATATGAAAGTTAATCTCTTCATCTCAAAATGTTGAGTTTGAGTTTTTTTACGTGACATTTTTGTTTAAAGAAATTTCGGTCCTTAATTAAAAATGGGAGAAATAGAGAATTTAAATAATAAAAATAGAAGGTATAAGATATCGATTTTGATGGCGAGAATTTTCACATGAAAGAATTAAAGTAAAAATTTCACATGAGAAGATCTATCTCCAAAATGATTGATATGTTCTAAGTTTTTGGTTTAATATTTATTTTTTCTTGATTAATTTGCTCTCTAATTTTCAATCACCACAATTAAAAGTAAATTATTTATTGAGGGTGAGACAAAAATAAGATATTTATTATTATTTTTAATATGTATAAAAATCTTAAATAATAGTAATTTTGGTATATATAAAGTAAAAAGTATATAATGAAATTATTTAATATTCTGTTTGGTCTTTATTATGAGAAAAATTATAATAAAGGTTGATTTAGTTGGTAAGGAATATGTTCATCCCAAAAGGACATGAATTCGATTCTTGCTAATGTGAGAACTAAAGTTAGATGAAAAACACATAGAAGGGGGGAGAGGGGTTGAATATGTGTGTGTGTGAATAAAGGAATTTTAAAAATATTTTCGCAAGAGGACTTTCGTTCGTCCTGTAAAACAGTATTGGTAAATGCTAAACAAAAACTACCTAAGATTGGTTTAACAAAAACATTTTACATCTGGGAGTTTCATTGTCTGCTTAAAGAAAATACTTCTTAGATGAAAACTGTTCTTTAGAATGACAAGTTGAAAAAATATGGTTTTCGTCTGAAGATGGTTTTAATAGACGATAAGCATTAGATAAAGTTTTCAGTATTAGATCAAAAAAATATAGTGCGTCTGAAATATTAAAGCGTAGTGCAAGTATTTTTATACTAGTTCACTCAAACTGAGCTACATCCAGTCTTCTTCAAATGAAGGGTTCCACTAGATGTTCAATAAAGTACAAGTATTGTTTATTCAGTCTCTTCAGGCTTGCAGTGAGTATTATAGACCATCAAGGTCACGACTACTCCTAGTCCCAAGTATTCTCAACCACTCCTAACTCGTCAACTTCACTTGATGACGTTAGTATTCTTTAATCAGCCACTTCTGGCTCCCAGTGAGTATTCTCGACCAACTCCTGACCCGCTAATTTCACCATTAGCGCTAGTATTTTTTGATCAGCCACTTTAGGCTCTTAATAAGTATTCTCGACCAACTCCTGGCCCGCCAGCTTCACCCACTAGCGCTAGTATTCTTTAATCAACTACTTCTGACTCGTAGTGAGTATTCTTTGACAAGTCTCTCCAGGCTTTACAAGTATTCTTTCCTTAGCCTTTTCAGGCTTTACATATGATAGCTGAATTGGTTTGGTTTGAGTGTTTGGGTTACTCTCATAGAGAAGGTACATAAGATGGTACACTCACTAAGGTATGCAACCTTAGTTCTTACAACAACTGAGTGTTTGGTTTACTCTCATAGAAAGGATACATAAGTTGAATACACTCACTAAGGTTTGTGTTCCTAAGATGTACACATGAAACTCCTTAGTTTACAGAGATAATTATACTATTGTACATTTGACTCTATATGCTCTATCTCTAGTTTCGTTGCTTTGTGGGCTTGATATCACTCTTGTTGAAATTGCAAAAGAAAAAGACAACCTTTCAAGGTTTGAGATAGTGATATATATATTATTTGTAAAATTTTCCCGTTGCAAGTGTTCGCTGAAGTAGATATAGTCATTCATGACTAGTTTGAACTCTCATTTAATGCTTAAGATCTTGCATTAAATGTTGCTTCCTGTTTATAGACCTTGCGTAAAATCTTCTTTGCCTTGTTAGCAGTTGTGTCTGAATTTAGCTAAGACTTAGGAACCTTTTTGTCCTTTTTCGGTCACGTAGCTGTAGAGTGTTGTCCTTATATGAAAAAGTGATGTACTTTTTCTGACACATGCATGCTTTTACTTTTGCGTGCTTTTCTTCTTCTTTCATCAGCCTATCATATTGAGAGCATTTGAGTGATTGTAGACGATGCCTTGATTTGTCCTTTGAGACTTGATTCTTTAAGTGCTTGCGTGGTAATCTTCGTCTGCATCTGTTAGTCTTATGCGTCTCAATCTGAGATTTTTGTCAGAGCATTTGAGTTTAATGCTTTTGACTTTCTTTTGATTTGATCAATCGTTATAGTTGGACAGACTTTATTTTTGTCTGAAGTATCTTTTCAGTCTGTGCTAACCTTCATCTTATGCATAGTTTGCTTTCTGATCTTGACTTTTGCTTCGTCTAGTTTCTTATATTGTACTAGAGGTTGTCCTTGACACGCCTTCATCTGATATTAGACTCATAGTCATCTGGCGCACATATTATCCTTTATCTATTTAGTTAGCTTGACCTGTCTTACTCTCATGATGTGTTTTGCCTTGACTATTCTTTTATCTGAGTTGACCATCTGGTTCCATCTGATGTTTGATGCATCTTTGTCTTGTTCCAGGTTTAGCCCTATTTTAGCTTTTCATCTGCTACTTCAAGATTTCGACTTTTAGTAGACCTCGTCTAGTATACGTTGAATGTTCTTCTGTTTTTGATTAGACTTGATCTTGATGCTTGACAAACCATCATCTGATTTTCCTGTTTAGTTCGTCCAGACTTCGTAGATCTTTGTATTTAATGCATTTGATCTTGCATTAAATGTTTGCTTGCTAGATTTGTCTCACATGTGGCCTTTTGTATCGTTTGTGTACGTCTATGTCTGACTTCAGTCATGATCTAGGCATATCTGTACTTTCCTGGCATTGTAACTGCAGAGGCATTGTCTTTTACTGACTAGTAGGTGTACTTGCTCTAAAACGTGCAGCTTTGACTTGTGGATAAGCGCTAATCCATTTTTCTTTTCATTCTTTTCCTATTTTGATGACTTTATGTGTTCTTCTAAGAGTGTGGATGATAATCAGTCCTTCTCGTTGTGATTTAGTGGACTTTAGACGCAATCCAACATTCTTCGTTTTTGTCTGCATATTTGAGTCTTTGTCTAACAGATAGACTTTGAGTTTTTCTTTCGTTTGGTCAGGTGTGCAACCTTTTAATTCTGTCTAGGATACTATTGTCCATCGTCTGTAATCTTGTATCATCTAAGGCTTCATTATTTTCTTTCTTGTGTTGGACTTGATTTCTTTTGATCTCCTCATTTGATGTCTTGTAGCTTTTACCCTTTATCTTTGTTTCTCGTACTCTATTTTGGGAAGAAAGCTGTAATGCAAAGTTTTTAGTTTGTGGTTAGTTGTGTCTGGTGTATATTCTTCTTTTGATTAGACTTCATCCGGTGCTTAGCTCATTTTGTCTTGGTTCTGGTGTAGAAAGTGGTCCATATATTCTTTATTCTTCAATTTGCCTGTATTTATGTTTTTCTGAAACACTAACACATTTGTTAGGAATAACAATATATATTATATTTGTCTTATTCAAAACCTTATTGAGAATTGCTTTGTCTGATTTAACAAGAACTTTATTGATGAATAATCTGTAAGTATCTCCACAAACTCTCATAGAACATTGAGACTGATTCCGACCCTAGTGGTGAGTCTTTGGGATCCATCTAAACTTTTTTTATCAAAAAATAAAATTTTAGAATAACATGATAGTCCTTTTTATAAAACATTTAATTTCTATAAAATTAAATACATTTTTTATTCTTGATCTTATTAGTATGTATGTTTCTTCCCATTGAATAATGAGAAGAATTTTTTTTAAAGAAATGCTCTTTCTTTCATTTTTTGAATTATCCAATTATCATTTATCAATAATTATTGATATAAGTGTATAAATTTTGGTATGGAATGATATCTACACTTCTTTCATGACAATTCAAGGATGCATAAAGTGTAATATTGGTATATGATAATATAAAAAAAATTAGTTAAAATAACTACTTATATTAACCTATGTGTGTGAAGCGTTAACTTATTAGTGAGGGATTAAAATAGTATACACAAGTTTTTAAAGTTCTTTCTTTCATTTTTTGAATTATCCAGTTATCTTACCAATAATTATTAATATCTGCACTTCTTTCATGACACAATTTAAGGATACATAAAATGTAATATTAGTACATAATAATAAAAAAAAAAGTTAAAATAACTACTTATATTATTGACCTATGTATGTGTAGCGTTAGCTTATTAACAAAGGATTGAAATAATATACACAAGATTTAAAATTTGAATCTTGTTGTCATTATTGAAATTTATATCGATAAAATAAAAAATTAGTATATGTGATGTTAATAAAGTAAGTAAATTTTATGAAATTAAAATATTAATTATATTTTGTAAACAATAGAGAAATATAATTCTCATTATGATCTCTTTAACATAAAAATTTTTATTGATTGATTGCATACCAAATAATTTTTTGCTTAACCGTCATTCTAATTGTTTAAGAGGTGCAGTTAAGAGCACTTATGAAGACTTGTTGATCAGCATTATTAATTAAGGTATAATTGATTGCTTTTGAATTAAGAAGAGAAAACCGACCTAAACAAAGCCATTGATTTTGCCCCACCAATCAAGCAATTTAATTTTGTTGTTAAGCACCCACTCCCCATGTGCCATAGCCCTTCCCAAAATCACTAGAAAAGACAACATGCCCATATTGTCCAATGTCCCCCATGTGTTCATGCCCTAATTCTACTTCCTGTTCCCTCAAGTCTTGCTTTTTTGTAACACTAGGGCGGCTTCTATTTTATTCATGCTTTCTCTGTCCCTTTACACGCTTTCCCACTATTATATAAGGGCCTAACCACATCAACTTCCTCTTGCTACCTCCTTCACATTAATTCAGTTCTTCATCCTAGAAACTAAACACAACAAAGAAACAAGGGAGAAAGATGATCAAGTTGAGGTCAAAGAGGTTTTCAAGAAGCAGCTCCAAGGTTGGCAAAGCAGCATCACCAGGTGAAAAGGATTGCAAGAGTGTTGTTGGTGAAATCAAATGGGAACTTAGGCCTGGTGGCATGCTTGTCCAGAAAAGGGAGAGTAACCAAGGTGTTGGGGAGGGGATGATCACAATTAGAGTATCTACTGTGTCACAATGGCATGACATTTCTGTTGATGCCACTTCAACTTTTGGTGAGTCACCCCATCTATTTTTCTTCATATGAATCCAATTTTGGCTACAAACCCATTTTTGATTTTTCAATTTGAGCAATAATCAATTGGTTATATATATATATATATATATATATATATTTACATGTCCAATAAAATCCAATAAATACATTCAATCAAAGTAGCGATACAGAGAACAATATATCAATTATATGTCAATGGGTGAAACAAAAAGGTGAAAA